GGTCAGTGAGATGGTCTTGCCATGTCGTGTGTGTTCAGTTGGGTATGCGATTGGAAAGGAAAGTGGAATGCTTGTATAAACATGGTGATGTGTAGGGCATAAGTGGGTATTCCTTGAGTTGGCGTGAGGGTGTTGTCGATGCTGTTGCTGTTGGCAGGAATATGAGTGGAGACTTGGTACCGCATCTGTTGTGATTGACTTTGGAATTGGCTGCACAATGTCGGTCTAGTGTTGTATTCCATGGAATGAATGCTGGGCGCATTGGGGTTGCTGACGGGCGCCCTGTTGCTGCAGCTGCTACTGCTGCTGCTGCCTGCTTCCCTCCCAGTTAGCAATTTTTCGTGTCGTGGAGGAATGTTTGGAAGGAGTGAGGAAGGGAGTGGTGGAGTGGTGGAGTGGATGCATGAATGAGTGAGTGGTAAAGAAGATGTTTGGATGGGGGATGTTGGAGAATGGGTAGCAGTTATTAGTGGAGATGCCGTCGGGTCGTCACCGCTGCTCTAGAGCCTGGAATAGAATTAGTGGTTGCAGATGCAAGTCGTTAAGGTTGGTGGCTGCAGGTCTGCACCTACACCTGAGGAATAAGTGCTCCTGCTGTGGTCATGATAAGTTGAGGCGAGTGCGGTAACATTGACGACAGCTATGCGGATGCGCATGCACACCGCCTCGTTCCTCATTCGAACCAGTGCCTAAGGCGTGGAGGAGGAAGCATTCCTTCCGCCTAATGAACTGCTCCAAGTGACGATGTGGTTGTGTGCCTCACCTCTCGTGTCTTCTTCACTACTTCCTCCTGCTTCCCTTCCCCTCGCTGGTACCTCCTTGTTGGGTGGAGGCGATACGCAACTTGTTTCGGTCCATTTTTTTTGTCACAGCAATGGAATGGGGACGCAAGGCTTAGGAGAAGCGGAGGAGGAGGAGGAGAAGGGGGAAGGTCTAGCCTTGGTAGCCTCACATGCATTAACAACCGCCTGCCTCTACTGTTTCCATTTCTTCAGCACTCCCCTCACAATCCCTACACGCTAACGTTATGTCGTGGCTCCTCTTTGCGCTATCGTCTGATGATTGACTGCAAACGCGTGCCTCACTTCATCCTCCGTCTTTCTGTCCGCTTTACTCCCTTCATCAACAAGGCTCTCCTCCTCCTCCTCCTCCTCCTCCT